ACCTTTAGTTATGGATTGTATATACAAATTCCACTTGAGGTCTGTTGTGACCTTGAATTCTAATAGTTGCTTAAAGCAAGAAGCCTCCTTGAAAGTACAACTGTTCATCATGGCAGGTGAGAATTCAGAGTCTGCTTGGTGATGATAAAATATTATAAATTTAGTTTTGGAGGTATTGAATGTTACAGGCCAGTTTTTGTTCTATTGAGCTGTTAGAGCCAGACCAGAGAGATAAGCTGATCTAAATATGCTCTTGGGCAAATCATTAATATAATGCAAAAAGTAGGACTGAGAAGTAAGCTTTGGAAATACTAGTGTTGATCTGATGAGCTTCATTAACAATAACCTTCATGGACCTATAGGAAAGACTTGATAATTGTGGAAACTCTTTGTGAGATTCTATAGCTAGAGAGTTTGGGCAGCAGCCCCCTACGCCACACCTTGTCAAAAGCATTTGAGATATTTAAGGCAATCATTCTTGTGGTGAATTCTGATTCTGTATATAATGACATTTAGGACATCAGCAGTGGACCTAGAGGAGTGCAATCATTACTGTTTGTTGCTCAGGAGATTGTTTCTGATGAGTTTTTTTTTTCACTAATCAGACATCAAACTCCACAAAAAGAGGCAAATATTTGTCTGGGGACAGTTCACAAAGTATTCCTAATTTGTGTAAAAATGTTAGGTAAGTCCAAAAAGATCATGTACATGGTAGTCAATAATATTTTAATTATTGTATACTTTGCTATTTGAAGCAGCATGCTCATCTTGGTTGTTATACTCACAACATTTCAGCTGTTGAACTCATCAGCCTTCTCCAGGTTTCTGTCATTGTACTTGGTGACCTTTTTGGAATTTCAAACCAAACCCTTTATTCAATCTATGGGGTAAACTTCTTCTCAATCTACTTTCCATTGCTAGAGGATGTTATGTACTCACCAGTTTTATATACTTTAGAGTTACATGTTTGTTTGTTTTTTCCACCAAGCTATTTGACTTTTCAGTATTATCAGGCCCAGAGATTAAACTCTGAACTGCCACTCAAGAGTTGAATGCACTTTAGAAATCAGTGTATATAGTGACTTGTAAGCCTACACCTTAAGCAATCATCAGAATCTTTATATGTATATACACTCTATTCTCAATATTCAACACACTTCCTTCATAAATATAGTAAATTTTAAGCAATATCTATCTATTTGGTATATTTGGGTAGTAATTTTTCAGTTATGTACATTTGATTAAAAACCACTGGAAGTTCCATGTTATTGTTTTTTATTTACCTTTCCAATATTTGTAATAACTTTTTAAAAAATTTTTGGTTGGTATTGTTAAATATGTAGGAGGCATGGTAGAGTAATGGATAGTGGCTCAGATTGAGGAATCAGAGAGCCGAGTTTGAATTCCAGTGAAATCCATTACATTCACTCATGTGCTAATACCCTTGGGAAAAGTATGAATCCTCTTCTACCAACCAGCGATGGGTAAGTAGCAGGACAGATCAGGTTCTATAGCCTTGGATGGCAACTGGTCTAAAGTAGAAAGAAAATCTACTGTGGGAAAAAAAATCTGCCTAAGTGTGTATCATGCATGGCATATAACTTGACTGATTGGTAAATAAAACTTCTCATATCTGAGTACTTTCAGCTAACATCAATAGCCATTTTCAAAGACATTTTTTGTTTGTTGTGTGGTCAGTTTAATTTTTTTTAAATATTGCATTGTCATTCACATTATATATCATAATTTAGCTCTTGAAAATATATTTCAATTGAGCACTGTTGAGTGATAAGCTAATTCTATAAACAACAGCCACCTGCGTTAATGCAAAGCTCTTCAGTAAAATGAATTGGAGCACTCTGGCTGATTGGCATTTGTTTATATTCGTAAAAACAATACGCTAGATTTAGTTGTTTCTCTCTGTCGAATGAAGATAGCTCAGTGGTAGAAACTCTGACTGATCGTTTGGGTTTCAATCCGGGCTTGAGGTATTCGCATGTCTAGTCGCACTGAGGAGCTGTGATACACCGAAATAGTACTGTCTGTGAATGACATTATATATATATATATATATATATATATATATATATATATATATATATAAATGTAATGAGAACTAAAATAATAAAAATTCTAATGTTCACACCATTAATTCAAAAGAGGGATCAATAGCAAGAGTAGAAAAATAATTATTTATTATAGATTTTAAAATGCAGACAAAAACAACTTACTAACTACAAATATGCATTCTTGTTTTGATGCATTATGTGCATGTTGACAGTTGAGATGCATATAATTTGTGGTGAGTAATTGTTTTTGTCCGCATGTAAAAATCTATAATAAATATATGTGTGTGTGTGTGTGTGTTAGGTGTGAATTAGGATCAAATATGGATTAGAATCTGACAAAATGATAGGATAAAGAACAAATAGGAAATATTTATAAATATAACGTTTCATTTTATTTAAGCTTCATCATAAATTTTTGGGAAATGAATTATGAATGAGAAAATTCCAGTACTTTTAGTTCCGTGTTGTTTGTTTTTTCATTAGTCAGGTAGACCTCATGTGTCTTTGTCTTGTGGTGTTAATGTGGCTGTGTGTGTGTGTGTGTGTGTGTGTCTGTGTACAATTGGATTCTAGTGGGCATCTTTGTGTCAGTCTGGTAGTGTCCGTGTGTATAATTCCTGAAGGTGGTAATGGGATGTCGGTTTGTCTGTGTGTTTGTGTATCATATTTCTAGTTGGTGTTACAGGATTTGGGTGATAATGTGTTTGTGAATATTTTGGGTATTTTTGTTTCTGTCTGGTAGTGTACTTATGTTGAAATGTTTGATATGGGAGTGAAAGACTTAGCTTACATCAGCCATAGGTATGTGGATCTTAGATTCTTTAAGCATGGGTTTTATGAATGTTGGTGATATGAAAAAATGTGCTTGGCATGTGTTTATTGATGAGAATCTTGAACCCCTGTGCCTACAAAAAAATGGTATATCAAAAGAACATTATTTCCCCTGACACTGCTATTATGTTAAATACTTTTGTTCCTTGGCAATGTGTATTGTCTTTAAAAAAGTGATAATTAGAATTGTAATAAAACCTAAAAATATGATGAAAGTTTTTTTTTTTTTTTTTTTTTTTCGTGAGAATTTACAACAAAAATATTAATCACTCTTTATTTATTAAATTGTTTATTTACAAGAATCACTTACAACATTTAATATGTTTAACTTTTATTAAAGCTTCATAAGAAAATGATATATGGAGAAAAAAAAGAAAGAAATTCTGTTATTTTTGTGTTTGATTTTCATTGGTTAATCAGGTTTCACATGCATTCGACTTGTTAAACAAATGTTAGTATAATTTATAGTGTTCCTATTTCAAAGAAAGATAACATGTACCTTTGAAGCTCCAAGAAATTAACTAATACAATTGCTTTGAAACTAATGCAATGCAATATTTATAATTTACCAATTTATAAAGAAATAAATATGAGAAACAATTGTTTATTCATAAATTTATAAACATTTACTAAATTATTAAAATATGTGAACTAATTATAAGGAAATCCTTATTATTTACCATTTTATAAAGTTTGAATCAATTGACAATTAGCTGATGCTTTGCCAACCATTCCAATAAACAATATACTTGTAGTGGTCCACAGACATGGTTGCTCTTATAATAATCAGGAATTCTTAATCGAGTGGAACCTTGACTTCTGAACACCGACACGTCTAAAAAACTTGCCATATGAACAAAAATTTTTCAGAAAATTTGTTTGCAATTACTAATTAATTTTGACTTATGAAATTAAGAATGGGCTTCCTGCCATTGCATTTCAAACTAGATATTTGATATAAATGTACAGTGCAACCATGGTTCTTGAATGCAATGTGCAGAAATATGTACTGTATAATAATACAATACAGTACTGTATATAAAATATAATATAATCCTGTACAATGTATGTAAAACATAGAAGTATAAGAATAAAATATATTTGCAAATATTGAGTAGAGTACAGTATAAAAATTCAGTATAAATAATTATTGTAATACTGTATAATATTATCGTATTATATTATTATATATAAAATATATAATAATATATAAAACATAAAAATATGAAATACAGTATATTTAGATAAGATTAAAAAGTATTTACAGTACAGTGGAACCTCGATTCACAAATTTAATTTGTTCCTAAAGCTTGTTTGTAACCTGAAATGTTCATAAACTGAAACTAGTTTTCCAATAGGAATCAATGTAAAATGGATTAATCCATTCCTGGTCCCAAGATGATTGCTTATTTAAACATTAAAAATTACTTAAATCTCATTGATAAAGCCTGGGAAGGATATATTTATTTACCTTATTTTTGTATAATCTTTAAAAAAGTACTTCAGTTTTGCATAAAATATGAATTTTATTGATTTTTATATCAATATTTTTGGGGCTTGGAATCAATTAATTTAATTTCTATTATTTTAAATGGGCAAAAGTGTTTTGACATACAAAATTTCCAGTTACGAATCCACTCTTGGAATGGATTAAATTTGTAAGTTGAGGTTCCACTGTAAAGAATATACAAGAAAATATTAACACCAAAAATTGAGTTACAACAAAGACAGAGTTCTTAATAAAAAGGTCAAAGTTTTATTATTGGCAAACAACCAACAACTTAATTACAATTATGTACATTTGTTGATTTGTAAAACCTGAAAAAGAGTCACCGTCTGGTAAGGGGTGAAATATTAAAAACACAAAGAAATGTTCCAAAGTATAATGGTGTGTGTGGATATGCAAATGTGGTTAATTTAGTAATCCAGAAAAAGGAACATGGTAACCACATGCAAGTGGTAAGTCTTTGGAATGTTCATGTGTTGTAGTTCTTGATGAAAGGAGAAGTTAAACTCAAAGGTAATCACTTGAATATAGTGACTTGAAAATCCAAAAATGGCAGTGTGCTGAATAAGATATCACATATGGCATGTTGAAACTTAAATCCAGAAATTTGGCAGGAAACCAAATGAAGATGCTATGTTGAATTTAAAATGGTGATATGCCGATGAAAAAGCCATCAAACTGGTGCAGTTGCGAGGTAACCAAACATGATAGCGCAGACCATCATAATTGTGCTTCTGTGAACAAACATTAAGAGTATTAACATGCGAAAAGAAAGAATCCAAACAAAGCATGGTCTGGGTTTGCTCAATGGAGTTGAAATTGGATAACTCAATTGCTCATGCTCCAGAACAGAAAGGAAAGACAAAGAAAGGAAAAGCAGTGGGGGAGAGTAAAATATATATATATATATATATATATATGCCTATTTTTATAACAGAAGCCATTGGTTTATACCAACGGCTTCCCATACTTAATACTTCTTGTTTTTCACTCTTGCGTGGTCATGTATGACGTCACAAGCTGTGACGCAATTTTTGCTTCCGTGTCTCGTATATACGAGTTTGTCGTTACTTGGAAATTTTCATGCAGCAAGGCCGGACTATCATTGTTGTTTCGTCTGTTGTCGTTTGATTTATTGAAATTGTCATCTTTGATAATGGCTTCTGTAAGCCCAAAGCTTAGATTGGATTTAAACATGTATCAATATGGTGTTTTCCTTTCGTCTTTCAATGATAATGTGATTAAGCTTATCAGACAATATGAAAGGAACTTACTTAAAATAAATAGACAAAATTTATCTATATTATTTAATGAAACATGCATTAATGTAAAATTGCTGCCTAAATATACACAATATATATATATATATATATATATATATATACACAAAATGTGGCACAAGATCAAAAAGGGTAATGGAGAAAAGGACAGTCTTCTGTTTTAAATTTAAACTTATCTAGTCACAAACACTGATCCAATCATACTACAATATTCCTTACACTAAAGCAATACATTTTTACTTAACATTCTTACTATATCTACCATAATACCTCACTGTCTCTATGAAAGTCCCAGATGTACAATTCTTTTCAGTGGGGGGGAGTGGAATAAATCAACAATTCATATATATATATCTATAATTATCAAAATATGTGTGTATGTATGTGTGTGTGTGTGATCGAATGTTGTTTATGCATTTTCACAGTTTCCATCTGATTTTGATGAAATTTTTTTCTGTTTTGATAGAAATTCTTCAGTGCCGGTTTTGTGTTCAAATTGTTGGCGACAATGGCTCTCCACTACTTCCTATCCATTATAACTGTCAGTAATGTTTTACTATTTACTATCTTTTATAAAAATAAATAGTTTAAATTATTATACAGTTCCCTTTTCAATGCTACCCCCCCATTCATGGATGTGCCTCAGTTGCACCCAAATGTTGTTACTAATATTGATTTTTTGGTGGCTGACTTTAAACTTAAACTGCTCCAAATGAATGGCAAAAATTCCCAGTAATGAAAGACCCGGTCAAATTGTTATGGCAATATAACTTGGCTTGTCTTTCCTATTTCTTTTGATTAAGAAATTAAGTAAACATTTAGAAACATCTTTTCTTAAAGCAAAGGTTCCTACTAGTATTCCGGAACTGTTCGTCAAGTTTTTATGTATTATACATAATCTTTGAAATATAGAAAGTTTTGTTAGAAATGAAAAACACTGGTACATAGAAATCAGTAACAAAACCGTTATCAGTCAAGGTCGCTAATCAACTTCCGTTTTGCTTAACCGATGGATGTGACATACTTAGTGTAAATAAACAATCTAATAAATAAAATATAATTCACTTTCATATGTTTATTTTATTAAAATTTTAATCGTGGGTTTTTAAAACAATAAACATTGTCGAGGAGGGAAGGTAGTTAAAATAATAGTGACGTCAAGGGAAAAACACCCTTTTTAACACGCCGTTTCCTTTGTGGGCACAAAGGATCAAGCAAAATTGCTGGAAAGTGTTTATTAGTATCCCTTCTAAATATTTCCTTCACAGTTAAAGCATGTTTTGCTTTTTTATTTAAAAAAAGCCACCCTAATAAAGGAGCGAAAAAAAAAATCGTTATTTTCTGTCTTCTTAATTCCTGTTCTTTTATTGTTCTCTTTAATTTTCATGTTATTCTTCTAATACATATTGTCTCACAGTTAGCAACCACCTTAACATCTTTATTGACTTACTTGGGTTGAAATGATTGGAAAAAAATCCAAATGTACAAACACCAAAAACGACAAAGACAAGTGAGGATAAAGAATAAATAAACTAATTAAATTTTAAAGCTGTTTTATGTTGTCGCTTTAATTTTAAAAGGAAAATGAGTGTCGTCTTACCTAGCTTCTTTAAATAAGTTTCTAATTCTGCTATATTGCTACTTTTTTTATTCTTGCTTTGTGGATTATTTTCATTTTTGGTTATTTTCCATCTTTACTTATCATTTTTTTAGTTTTTTTTTAAAATAAAATACAGCAAAAAACTGCAAAAGAAGTATTCATTTTTTCAAACTTACAGGTAAATGAGTCAAGCTGAGCTTGTCTTCTTTACACAAAATAATTAGTTTAATTACAACATTATCTTATGTTTTTAAAGAAAGCTCGACCTAAATTCAAACACATACCAAAGAGGTTTAAGATCTCACTGTTGTCGTTTAACTGGTTTGAAAGCACCCATAACCGGATAGAACCAGATGCCAATGACCTGACCGCCTGAAAGAGACAATTGATCTGATTGGAGCTAAACGAATTTCTAACCAATCACAGAGGTCGATGTAAAAGTGCATTTGTTTCATGTGTTTTGTTTATCTCTTCTTTCTTTTTTTTTTTTTAAAATCTATAAAAAAAAAATGTTATTTTTGTACTTTTATTTTTTTCAAAGCGAAAACAATTTGAATTATTTTAATTTTTAAAAATAGGTTGAATTCATTTCAAACTAATTCAGGACGAGTTTTTGCAGTAAAGAAAGGTAAATAAATTTTATCAGTATCTAAATGTTTATTTTTAATGACGTATGGTTGTTGTTAAAAGTAAAAAGACTAGAGAGTAAATATTTAGAAAAAAAAAATTGAAACAATTATGCCGAAACAAAAAGCACTTCTGCATAAAAATTAAGTTTATTTAAAAAAAAAAAAAAAAAAAATTGACTCTTGATTTTGGAAAAGTATTCTTTAAAAAAAGATACATGTTTATTGAGAAAACACACCAGACAACATTATCTGAAAATAACTAAAAACCTGTAAGTGTAATTTTTCTCATTATTATTTTTTTTTATTTACCGCCTTTCCATGACATCATAGCGCGCGAAAATTGAATGACAGCTCCTACCGTGAGAAAATTGAAATGTTAAACAAAAAGTCTAAATTGTTTTTTTTCTTTCTTACATTTTATTTTTTCTTACTATTTCAACAAAGTATATGAAATATAAATTACAATGAACAATGCATGGTTTTCCCTATGACTCTATTTTTTTTAGTTTTTGTAAATAAATTTAACAAAAGAAACTGTTTTTGACTGAATTAGGGCCAAATTCATGTAAGAAAATTTGGTTCGATACGCAAGTCTTTTAAAATGAGCTTGTATGTATATTTGGTCAATGAATAATACACAGGTTAAAAAAAATGCTGGTGTGAACATTAATCACTATCGTTTTAGTGAGAAGACGCTGCTATCTCAGTCACGAAGCGAATTTTAATTCGTGTACAATTCATCGATTCTTGACTAATGATAGTCAACACTAAGTCTTCAAAACAACAAGTAATATTTTTACAAATACACGAGTAATGATTATGAAGATGAGATATTCAATAAATGCAGAAGTGTAAAAATAAGTTATTTAAATAAAGAAAGTGCTCGAGACAAACACCCGAAATGTATTTGATTTGGAGATGTTTTTTTACCATTAGGAACAATTCCAGAGTTTCTTTTCTTTGCTTAAAAAAATGATCTTAAAATTAAATAAAACTAAGTGTTAGTCGGGTAATGAAAAAATAGTTTTAAAAGCTTTGCGACATTCGCTAACATACTCTTGCCATTTAATGTGAACGAGAAACTATCCTTTCTAAAGCAATGGCAGCATCGTCATCATCATTTCCATGACCGTGTGTGGTCGTACGTAGCGTCTCTCAGCACTCTCTCATTTACTGCCAGATATCTAGGATGAAAGCCAGATAGGTGTTCCTTTATGCGTAGGATTTCTTGGGCAAGTAGACCTGGCAGAACCCATCTCCTTCCAGGTCAAACCACAGCTGATGTCCCCAACTTGAAGGCTCCCCTTGTTCATGGACGTTGATTCCATCGAAGAGAAACCTCTACTTTGGCAGTTTTCTTCAGCCTAGGTAGCCCTCTGTCCATTGATCCACACAATAATGTAGCTACACAGTTATGGAACACAGTCTCCGTTATTGTGCTAGATGACCCTACACAAGAAGGTTTTATCCGCCTTTTGACAGGTCTTGTTTTTAATCATGCTGTGTGTCTAGCCACCCTCCTCACCAGGAAAGCCTTGTGAGGAAACCGGTTTTTAGCCATCAATGACCCAGAGCAGGCGACACTGAGTTACATGGTAACCTGATGGTACCTTAGACACCTTCAAAGTACACCCATAGGAGTCTCACACAGAATTCTTCCCTCTTTTCAAAATAGGCTGCAAAATTAACTTTCATCGCCAACAGTTGTCTCGTTACGTTTCTCATCTATTATGTTTAACGTCGATTTTTGGGAAAACACCGGAAATGGCAAGAAGTCAAATCTGGGCTTTGGTGAGTGATGCGATGCTTTTTGCAAAAAAAAAAAAGAAAAGTACGTGTGACAATATACAAACTTACTCAATGGTACCTGACTACCGAATGAGTCACCCGTGAGAAAAGTGTCTGTTCACGTATGGACAGTAAGGTCACCTCTGATTGGTCGTTAAGTTACATTAATCGGTTCTCGTGATATTCAAAAATAGCTGAATATAGCGAATACGTTCTTCATAGACCTTGAATATGTACTGGTCCTTGAAAACTGGTTACTGAGTTCACGTGCCAATTTTTCCTTGCAACTGGAAGTGTATGCTGTTTCATGTTGTTTTTAAGAACAATTTCATTGTACATACTGTCCCGGGAGAACCATATGATTCCACTTGGTGGGTAACTTGGGTGATAGAGTAGATAAAAAAAATGAAAGAAAAGCTGACAGCAAAGAAAAAAAAGTAGAAAGAATGGTGACGACTGAAAAAGAAAATTTTCACAATTAACATGATATACTCTAACTATAAAGAAGTGAACGTATGAAACATAAAATCTTAAAAGTGATACAATTTTAAAAAAAAAATAAAAAAAAATACAGCATTCATATGAATTAGCGTGAATGAGGATTGGAATCAACCTCATTTTCTCCATATTTCAAAGTGGAGAAAGTTCCATTAAGATAGATCCCCCCCCAAGAACCGCTAATTTGTTGAACAGATACTCGTGTGGATGCTTTCTTCAAAACTACAATGTTAACGAACCTCTTCAAGTCACCAGTTTATCTATCCCCATTTCCTACCATCTACTTTTAATTTCATACCACACACGTCATTCAGTAAACTTATAAAAAAATGTTATTTGGATGTGAACAGGAATATAGCCTCTCTTGACTTTCCTATGTTGTTGGGTGACCAACGAGTTTAAAAATCAAGAAAAAAGTAAGAAGATAAGCCAGCATAGTGCTTTGGCGCGCACACACTGTATCAAATTGTTTCTGCCTTCAGTCTTTGACCATAATCATGAATCAGAACGCTAGTTTTTTTCTCTCCCCACAAACAAAAATGTATTGTATTCTAGCTATTTCTATTTGATACAACAAATGAATTTGATTTTTTTTTAATGATAGCATATAGCAGCTAGCCAATTTCAAGAGTAACATTTTAGTTAGAGATCAACCAATTTGAGTTGGGAACAAAATCATCATTGAACAAAAAACTAGTAGATTGTCTGATAAATGTACTGTAGTAAAAACTCTACTGGTGAGGAAGCTAATTAAAATTAAAAATTAGCCTTTTATTAGGAAGCACTTAGTGGAGTTATTCGGGTGCGAGCAAATAGGGCGCCAAATTTTATGACGACGCAGAAGTGGAAATAGCACGATTGTTTGAGTTAAAAAAACTAGTTATTCAGCCAGAATTTTGAAGAACACTTGTCTCAAGAGACATTTATTTTTTTTATATTTTCTTCTGGACGCTGTCAGCACAGCTTCTACAGTCGCAATTGAAAGTCGTACGCAATAGGACAAGAAGATGTCTTAAAAATACATTACATAAAAACTCCTGACTTTTTTTTTTTGCATGGAATAGTCACGGAGAATGTTATTTTCCAAGACAAATTGTGCAAATTTTTTTTTTTTTTATCTCTTTTAGCGTAGATATTAATTAAAAATCGTATGAATTTGTAGGACATTGTCGCGAACTGCTAATGCGCCGGTAATAATAGCAAACTAGTGCCGAATAATAAAGGTGGAGTATATAAAAGAAAACGAATAAAAATCACGTTTTTTGGTTTTTAAAAGAGGAGGGATAATGTATGCATGAAAAAAGATTTAGAGAAGAAAAATAAATTTAAGAAAAAAATGTAAAGTAAGCTGAAGCAAGCTATTGAATTGAATAATTTCTTCAAGACTTGAATTATTTTAAAATATAACTTTAGTGTCTAAACCACTTTTTCTTTTTAAAAAAAATACGCTTTCGGCTTTACCAAATATAACCTTGAAAAAAGTCAGCAATGAAATAAGACTAGGTATATTTTTACAAAGAAATGAAAAGGTAGGGAGAATAATAAAAACAAAAAATCTGAAGAGTAAAAAATAAAAATAAGAAAAAAAATGACCCTACGTATTTTTACTGTTTAAATACAGTAAACTTACATAGTTACTTATTGTATTTAAAAACAGTAAAAACACATGTCAGGGTCTTTTGTCAATGTTAGTTTTATTTTTCACTACCACTGACTATATACTTGTGACAACTTGTCGGTGGTAATGGAAAATAAAACTACATTAAACATTGTATTACAAACAGTACAAATAAAAACGGAGTTGTTGGCAAAATAAAGAACTATAACGCGGGAAATGTAGAAAAATACAATTCATACTAGGAAGTTAAGCGAAAGAATATATAAACAAAATAGTGTTTCAAATTAGAGAGAAAAAAACAGTAAGAAGATATTGAGTTTACAAAATAAAAAAAGGGAAAGGTTAATATTAATAAGGGAGTGGGTTGCGAAGTAGAGAGTGACATAGAAGAAATAATAGTGAAAGTCTGGGTTGCTATATAACTGAATTCGGGAGAAGAAACAGAAAAGCTGAAAATAATGAAAGAGTAGTGAAAAATAGAAACAGAAAGAATCGTAATGAGAGTGGGTTTTAACGGTAAGAAAAAAATCAGCTTAAAGAGTGTTATATAGTAAATAACAGAGGGTGAAAGAAAAGGGGAGGAACAGGAAGCACATCAGAGAGAGGGAAAAATGAAAGCTTGTAAGGAGAGGAAGGAAGGCTATATTGTGCGAGTGAGTGAAAATAGGGAGGAGAATTACTTGAAGCCGTAACAACAAAACTCGCTACTATCAGTAATAGTAACAATAGTAGTATTATCATCATCGATATTAGTAGCATTACGTCCTCTTCCTCGTTTTAGTAGTGTGATAGTTTTTATGTACGTGTTTATTATTACTACTAGTGCTACTTGAGTGCGGGCGCTATATTCTGATAGTCCTCTCTTTTTCTTTCTTTCTCTCTCTTGCTCGCTCCGAATGATTCGGTTTTCTAAAATAGGATACAATCATAGGGATTGTGAGCAGTCTGTGTAGTGAAAAGAGCCGACTAGATCCTGCTTACGAATTGGAAGAAGAAAGCTTGCGACAAGAAGAGAAAGACTTATCTCCGGTCGAGAGAAACCTCGACACTACGATTCAAAAGAAGAAGGAGGTGACCACCATGACAGGAACAGATTGCGAGGAGGGTTTGATGCGACCGAATAATGGAAACTTCACTTGTGGAGTTGTTGAAGGTAAGTTTAAAATGAGAGAAAAAAAAAAAGGAGAAAAGATCTTCATTGTTTATTGATTATAATAAACACAAATAAAAATATGAGAAACTTGCCACATTCTTGTCTTTGATTTTTCTTCATACGCGTCATTTTGATCTATGGTTAAAAAAAAGTTCAGTTTTTAAATAATCGTTTTACATTAAAAACTGATCCCTTTTTTTTCACTAAATTCGGCAAAAGTGCTTTGGTTGAGTGGAAAAATATTTTCAAGTAAAAATAAAGTAGGATTTAAAGATTATTGAACTTTGTTTATAAAACTGGTGTTTTCTTCATCATTTGTTAGTGATGCTGATTTTCGCATCCATTAAAAAATAAACAAAAATCTAAAGATGATTAGAAAGTAAAAAAAGGAAACAAAAATTAAAATATTGACTGATCCAGTGATTCGTCTTGTAATTTAATTTGTATAAAACGTGAAAAATATCAATGTACAGTAAAAAAAATGACGTAAGATATAAAGTTATTTTTCTCTTAATTATCTTAAAATTTCATCATTATTCAGTTTATCATTTTTTTATCTTCTGATTCTAAACCCACAAAATGAAAATTTTTATTTCATTGCAGAAAAGAAATAAGATAAAAAAAAATCCTTTGATTATTTCTCAATATCAATCATTCGACAATTATTTTACTGAATATAAGCAAAATGCAAAATTATTAAATTTTAGATTTATTTTATTTCATTAGCAGAAATCCATCGAGCTTATTAAATAATAAAACTAATGTTAATTTCGTTTTTTAAAAGTAAAACATTAGTGTACATGATTTTTTAAAAAATCGACATTTTTTTTAGTTTAAACGAAGATTATCAGTATTTTCAGTTCGAAATATAAGTTTTATATAATGTATTCGGATTTCTGAATGTATTTTTCTTACATTCATATCAAAATTTTCCTTAATCTTCACTTCACCTCCACCCAGGCAAAATTGCAATGGAGGTCTGCTCGATTTTAGTTTTTAACCTAATTACTTTTATTAGATCTTTCTTTTCTTTTTTTTTTTTTAAAACAAACACTTCTCCTTTCGTAAATATATATTTTAATTATTCATTCATTAACAAGACTAAGTGATGAAATGTTAAGTCATTTCAATATTCTGACTATATTGCCCCACCCCCAGTTTTAAATTTCATTCACAAATATGCATATTTACTGTTTATTACCCAATGATAACATTATTTTACTCTTTGTCGTTATTGAATCCGTTTAAGATAAATATTTTCGAATTTTCCTAATTTTCATTAATGTTAATAAGTTATTTTTTTCTTTATTTTTATAAAAAAAAAAAAGCGCACTGTAGTAAGTAAAAGCAAAAAAAAAAAAAGATTTTTTTTTCTTTTGCTTGGCCGCCATGTCGACTAACTGTCAAGAAAAACCTTCGTTAGTCCATCTGTGATGTCTTTTTTTTTTTTTTCTTGTTTTCTTTCGCCTATTCTGTTTCTATCGTTTTGTGAATAATAAAAAGTAGTTTTTGTTTTCTGAAATCTACTTGTATGTAAAAGAAAATGTTTTATGTCTGGAATGAATGACTAGTAATGAAAAATCAATTTTCAGAGTAAGATGACTTATGCCAAAAAAAACATGAATTGAAATTCAACTTCGAAATGTTACAATAATTACAATATGGATGAAGTTTTTAGCTTTTTTTTTTTTTTTAATATTATAAAAATGTTTTTACTTTTATCCCTTTAAATTTTTAATTTTGAGTCCACAAGCAGTAATTTAACTCGATTCGTAAAGAACAAGATGTTTTCAGTTTTTCTGTTTTATTTTTAACAAAGATCTTTATTTTTGATTTTACTTAAAAGCTTGCAAATGATTTTAAAAAAGGCCATCACCAGTGACTTTTTTTTTCCGTCAACATTGAAATATTGGCACTCCTTTTAAAAATTATAAATTGTACTTCCGAGGTTTATTTTCCTATTCTAATTTTACTTATATTTGTTATCTATCAATTCTAATCTGTAAATTTAAAAAAAAAAATCAAATCTAATTAACATATTTAATCATAATTTTATTGATTTTTTTTTTTTTTTTTTTTTTTTTTTTACACCGAAGCTCTAAAAATGACACGACATTTTTAACAATAGATTTTAATTTCTTTCATTTCATCTGCTTTTCATTCTATTTTTTTTTTTTTTTCAAGTTTTAAAAAAGAAAAAATATTTGCATTTTTTTATTTTTTATTTTATTTTTTATAGATGTCAATGGTAGCTCACTTTAACTGAAATAAAAATGTTTCTATTTTTGTCTTTTATGATCAAAGGGAGTTTTTTTAGCCTCAAATTGTGACTTTATTTTTGGCCTTGCTGTTTGTGTGTGCAAGAAAAAGCGCATTGCCTCTCTGAAAAATGGGTATTGCGTTATTTTTAGTTTTGAGGTCGGCAGAAACCCGACTACAACCCAAACAGAAATGGCAGTGCCGTTGCTCATTAGGTATTTAAAAAAGCTTCAGTAGTTTAAATGGTTGACACAAATTCTTGCAAGTATCTATGTGTCAAAAAAAATATTTTACATTTTTCACAGTACGATACCCGCACGCACGCACTGATGGGCGGAAATATTTTTACACCTTAAAAAAATATAGCTTTTAAATTCTTGGAATATTTTTCCCTTGAAGCATTATTATTAATTAATTTAAATATCGTAAATTTTTATCAGTTATTTAAAAAAAGGTTTCGTCTATTTATATTTAGATTTTAGAATATGAATGTAAATGACATTTTTAAATTGAAACAGTAGGGAAATCTCTTTTTTTATCTATATTGTAAGGAAAACCTTAATTAATAACTGAGTGGACGGGGGTGGTTGAATTTCACCAGCTCAAAAAATATTTGCTACTTTTTCCCTATCATAATGAACACAGAACATTATTTTTTTTTTTTTTTACAAATTTTGTGTATGATTTTATAGTCACTGTCGTGAAATAAATTATTTTGAATTCTTGGATAAGTAATCATCTGTGACAAAAAATTATTAGATAAATTTAAAATCACTTGAATATTTAAAATTAAATTAATTTATTTTAATGATACACATTTTGCGTAATAGTTTTTGAAGTAATTTACGCTTTTGAATTTTTTTAATAACTTATCGTAAGTAATTTCAGTTATAATTTTATTTACTGCTGTGTATGGCAATTACTATGACCAGGGACAATAAACGTTGATAATCAATTTTTGTAGCTACGTAAAAAAAACAAAAAAAAACATTTTGTTGACTCAGGCTAACTAACATTAGTTGTAATAATTGTAACAATAATTATTTGAGGTAGTACTATGTATTTTTCCACTATTCATATTTTTTCAGCATCAGATACTGATAAATAAATTGAGTCAAGCTGACCTGTATGTGTCTGATTAAGCTACTGCTACTATTATTGATTGCTTCCTTCTTCTAACTATTCTCAAGGGAACTGTTAGTGTTACTATTAGAGAATATAGAATTCTCATTGAACAAGCGTCTATGGTCTTAGCTATTTTTAACTACTGTGCAAATTGCAGACTTTATCAGTCAAGACATTCAAATCAAGTGTAAAAAAAAAAAAAAAGCATAAATTACTTTAAAAAATTAAACAAACTAATCTTGCATTTTCCCATTAATTTGATTGTCTAGATTTTAAATAACTTGGTTTACTTTTGTGATTTATTAAAATTATTTTTGGAGGAAATCCAAAAAAAAATCTGAAATAATCTAATTACCACATACTGAAAGACATTTATGCTTTTAAGGTCAATGAGAAGTTTATACTTGAAGAAAGAAAGAAGTCTAAGCTTGCTAAGTTTTATTCCCTGGTTGTGAGCAAGATTAGGATTTAACTTGTATATATTTTGATTTGTAGCTTTTAATGTTTATTTTTAATCACTTTAACCTTGTAATATTGATCAAAGTAAAGCCAGCTGAGAATGGCTACTAGCTGTTCATATGAAACTGTATGGTGAGCTTTGGAAAATTGACTAATGTCACTTACTATTTCTACAGCTATTGATTTTCTGTATTTTTCTTGTGATGGCACATATTGTTGTCTTCTCTCATTTATCACGAGGCATCTCTTAATTCAGCTTGAAGCTGACTGCCTAGATGCTTGTAGAAAATTCTGGAAATTTCAGTTACATCAGTGGTGAGGAGTTTGCTAGAGTACAACTAATAAGAATTTTCTCCCTCTTAGGTTGGCATAATTTGAAATAGCAGCCGAGAAAAAAGAATTCATTTTAAGGAAAACAGTTGCTTTACCTTTTTATTTATTTAAGGCAATTTTACTGGTTCCCTAACTTTGCTCCCCATCCAGGTTTATTTCCCATTTTGATTTTATTAAATTTATTTCGTGAATTGTTCATTTTGGAAGTTGTCATTTGATCTTTAAATATTGATTTTAAATGTGCAATGAAATTGCATCTGGACAGATGCATTGTCTTCTTAAAAGAAATTAGTTGATTAAAACAACTCTGAGAGATGAACATCTTTCAAGCTTTTAGTTTGATCTTGACAAATTTTTTCTTGGTATTCACAGAAACCACTAATTTAATAATCTTTATTTCAGGACTTCTTGTTAAACTTCCTACTTTTGAACAACTAGGAGACTAAGATAGTGTTGAATTTGAAAAAGAATTGACAGCATTGGATTGAATAAGAATTAAGTTTACAAAATATCTGCAAATGTTATTAGTTTTTCAGCTTTTAAATTATATTAGCTTAATCTTATCAAAAGTAATAATATACTATGTATTACCTAGCATTGTATGTTTGATAATAGAAGTTTTGTTTCATCTATCTTTTTAAGAATACATCTTGTCATGAATATATTGGTCTGAAAATGTCTTAAAACATTCTTCATAAATGTTAGATTTTCCTATTTGTCTTGTAAACAATTGCAGTCGATAATGTGTTACTAAATTGGTGCAACTTAGTTTTTGTATGATTATTGGGCACTTGGTGAGGATTGAACTAATTGGTAACTTGTTAGCCACTATATCATGAAGTGTTGTTGCATTGGATAAAGTAAAGAAATTTTTTTTAAATTTTCAGTGACATTTGATAAATTTGTGTCATTCCAAAGTCTGTACTGGTTTGTTTGTCTCCTTGTGCTTTTCATATGCTTTTATTATAATCATTATCATCTTTTAGTAACTGACAAGTGCATGATTAAAGCTAATAGGATGACATCTGTTTTTCCATTGTAAAATAACGAGATTTTGAACTGTATGTACAGCATACATTTAAGTATGAACTGAATTATTAGGTTCTTTGTCAGGAGATTTGCAACTGTAATGAGCAGTGCAAATTTTGACTAAACGGTAAAATAACAGGAAAAAAAAAAGAATCTTGGTTGAATAATTATTTTTCTTTTGTTAATATAAAATTAACTTAAAGTTAGATTGATCATTTTTGCAAAAACTTAGGTTTTTTTTTTTTTTTTTTTTTGAAGCAGGGAAAACTGAAGTAGCAATAAGGTTTTACATTATACTAATAGAATAATAAAGTTTTTCCTATTTGTTTTACAAGTAAACTTGTGCTCTGATTGATTTAATAAACAGTTAAATTGTAGTCAATCTCTTACACATAAGGTGATTGCTTGATACCTCTGCTTTTGTTTTATGAAGATGTCATCCTCTGGATTTAAATAGCATTAAATCTGTGAACAACCATTATTATCTTTCTATTCTTTTCCTTGTTTAACTATCGTTTTCCAAAACTATTTTTTAATATCACATCCCTTCAGGATTAGGCAATCATTATCATTAGTCTAGGCAGATTACTTTTCTTTATTATTCATGTTGTATATTCTTGGGACAGATAGTGGAGTGGTTTCTCATTGTCTTCTCTATGATTTGGAATTCAGTTTTCCTTAGACTGGTTGCAACCTAAGATTAGAGATGTAAGTCTACCCTGGTATTTAATCTAGAGCTGTTCTAAAGGCGTTTATGCTGAAATAAATGAAATAGGCTATACATTGAATTAAATAGGTTTTCTTCATTGTAGAAATACGATTTTTGGTTTTAAATCAGTTAAATCTTTTGATTTTTTTTTTTTTTTTTTCTTCATAGTTTGGTTGGTTTTCTAACAATAATTGTGTGTGTGTGTATATATATATATATATATATATATATATATAAATTTTTGGTTAGGAAAAGAATTGATATTTTTATGAGTGGTTCTTTGTCAGCAATATTTATATTAATATAACACTGCTACAAATATAGAACATTTACTATTAGCAAATGAATTTGTATCATTCTGCTATAAAATGTGAAATAAAGTTTTTTTTTTTTTTTTTTTTTTTTTTTTTTTTTTCTTCTTTTCAAAATTCCAGGTTTTTATGGCAGACCATGGACCACTGACCAAAGAAGGATCCTTTTCAAATGGTAAGTATTATTGACATCATCCTGTTAATAAATTTAGTATGGAACCTTTTTATATTGCTTCTTTTGGGGTAAGAATTCATAGTTTTCATTTTCTTTTTCTTTTTTTTATACAAGTGGTATGGATATTGAAATATATTCTTAAATTAAGGCATACTTCTTTTCTGCATGTTTATACCTAATCTTGTGGTTTTTACAGAATTTTTCATGTTTTCTAAAAGTTTTTTTATTTAAAAACTTGTTCCCAATTATATTATTCACTTTGTGGCTTATACAAATTAATTCTGTATTCTAAGTTACAAAATACGTTTTCATATTTTAAGGACAGATGTTGTTTTATAATTGTATGCATTAAATGATATGCAACTAATATTCTTTCTTTGTTATATAAGATACTTGATAGCAACATCATTTTTAAGAGGCTATTTATTAATAAATTTTAAAATTTTGTATTTGGAAAAAAATAAAAAAAAAATTTTTTTCTAACAAAGGAAAACTTCAATGCATTAATTTGTAAAGGAAACTTCAATGCATCAATCTGTTTTCTTATAAAGTGACAAATGAAAATAGTTTTTATTTATGTATTTTTTTATATACTTAACTCTATAGTTAAATGAAAAAAAGTTAAGATCTAATTTTGATCTGTACATTTTCATTTGATTAAAGAAAAAAAACAAGCATTTTCAAGTTATGTTAGCATTTGTGAACAAGCCTTAATGTCATTCTAATAGTCTTATCTTTTTATTTAATCTACATTTGTTAAACTCAATTGTTTATTTGAAAGTGACTTAAAATTCTATTTAAATAGAATGAAGTATGTAATATTTTTTTTCTGTAGGTATGAAAAGTTCTTTTAATATTCTCTCGTGTTGGTGTTTTAGACTAATGACTCTGCTAATGATCCACCTATTTGCTATCCTATGTTAGGCAGCCCTACAGAACAGACTACTATATATATATATATATATATATATATATATATATATATATATACACACACTGATGGGAATTAAAGAACAAAATTAATAAAAATTATATTAGTTTTTCAAATTTAAATAATTGTTAAAAATACATTTTTCACATTTATTATTTCAAGAAGGGTCAATGACTATTGAACAAAAAATTGTTTCCTTCAATTTTATGAATCCAAAAGATTTGTATAGTTCTCCCTAACTGTTTAAAAGTGAAAACAACAAGCACTGTAGGTTAAAAATGTTTTGTTGACAGTAGCATTTCTTTTTGCTTTTTTTATCTTTGGAAATCTCACACATAGCCAGTCACATTTGCTGATTGCTGGAGATTGACAATTCTCTTTTGAAATCTGACTGTTGGTAGCCATTGAAAAACATTAGGCTTGCTCTGCTGTTGTCATTGTGATATTCACTATACTATCAGGATTTTCCTGTATATTGGCTATAAAACAATACAATATATCTGTATGATACTTTGTAAAGTTTGTGGTCTAAATGGATTTGTTCCTGATAGTATAATATATTTAGCAGAAAAACAATTTTCATAGAAATATGAAATTGTACTTTTTTTGGTTGTGTGTACATAGTAATTAAGCAGATAAAATTAAATGTGAATAAAAAGCTCTTAGCCAATTATAGGAATATTGATTTGACTAAATGAAATAATATTTTTTCCACAATCAAAGTTTCCTATTGAGCAACTATATTGGCAATATACTTTTAGCTATATGAAAAGATTTGCTCTTTTTTTTTTTCACTCGAGTTATTCATACGGTATTGATTGTTCAGGTGTTTAACTCCAATTAATTTTTTTTTTTCCAAAACTGTTTGAAACATTAGAACACCTGAGCAAGATGACTCAAGTAAATGAAAATTTATTCCTACTTGACTTCTGAATGTTAAAATTATAGATGTACATTGCAATAACAATTGGTGATTAACTTCATGTAGGTCAGTAAAATGTGTAACAGTAACAGTGGCTTGGTTTTAGTGACAAGTCCAGCCAAGGTGTTAGACCAGTATTGGGGGGAGGTTACCAACACAAGTGCACTATTCACTTGTGATCATTAGTGTGGTAGTATGGTAATGCTTCTTTATGCTGTTGTGGAGCTTGTAGAATTTAGATTTCCTTCCCTCTCAATTGATTTACCCCAGGGAGGGGAGAGTGGAGTAGGGCTACTCTATTTGTAGTGGTGGCTGCTGTTATAGCAGCATTGAGGATAACTTCAGCATTGCCTTCCTTTCTCTTGCCTTTTCTTTTAAAATATGGAACACTTTGACCTTGTCTTATTTTTTGCCTTCCTTCTCCCTAGCTTTTTTTCTTCACTTAAGCTGAGAAACATGTTTGCCTAACCATACCTTTTTCTATCTGCTAATCTGTTTTAGACAGCAGTTTCGGAATTTTTTCTTCTACTCTCCCTCTTCATCATCTACTTACAGACTGCTATTCTTAAAAAAAAAAAAAATTGTGTATATATTTTATTTCCAAATTTAAATATACAGATTTTTTGTGACTCATATTTAGTACAAATTGGATGTGAACATTCTAAGCAATAGCTAATTGCATTAAATTCATAAGAACTTTAAGTAGATACCTCCACTAATTCATTGAAAAAACAGCTAAGCACAATGAAAGTCCCCAAACTTAATAAAAACAAAGTTTTATCGTCAAAATGTTTATTATTAAGAGAAGACCAAAGTATTTTATGTTCATTTTTAAAAAGTTTTTACTCTTTTCTAATGTCTAAAATTTTGGTTAAAAACTTTTTTTTTTTTATGTATCAATAGTGTAACAGAACTGGTAATGGAAATTTTTTTTCTGCCTGTTTTTTTGGTAACATATTAATTTGGAAAGTCTTGCAAAAATCAAATAATTGTTGGATTATAATGAACTTTCAAGACTTATTCACAAATGAATTTATTTTTGAAATTATTAGTTTTAGAAAATCTTCGTTTTTATATATATATATATATATATATATATATATATATATTTTTTTTTTTTATCTTCCTCACCTACTTAAATTTTTAACTTTAATTTCATGAAATTTCTAGAAATTAAATTCATTCTCCAAATTTTTTTTATCAGTTAAATGCAGGACTCCTTTGAGAATTTAAATCAATTTATTTTTGTCAAGCAGAAATACCATTTGCCGAAAATATACTTTGAATCATAAAATAAAAAAATGAAATCAGGCTATGACATTATTTAATTAGAAAAGTTTTTAATTGCTTTTATAAATAACAATATACAACATTATCAGAAAATAAGTGATAACAGTAAATCTAAAGCTAAAATTTCAAAAATTCCATAAAAGTAAACTAATTCTAAATAGATAAAGGAAAATATTTTCCTAAAACTTAAGATTAGTGAGTACTTAAAAATTAAATAAAAAAAGTGCTCATGTCATTTGCTTCAATTGTTTTACAGATAGTCTCTGTAGAACATGTATATCACCTTGTCAAACAATCTGCTACCACGTTCAGAAATGCATTTTAAACTAATAGTAAATAATGTTTCAAATCTGATTATACTTTAAATCAGCTAATATTTTTTAATAAGAGAACTACATTGCGATGAAAGATGGCTAAATAAAGGGTGGTAATCAGCTATTTTAGCAAAAAAAAATTCTTTCCGGACAATTTAAATTAATTTTAGAAATACAGCAAACTATTTTGGTTATGGGAAATATTAAATTGAATCTATTAGCTTAAAATTAAAACTGAAATAAAAGCTTCAAGGAACATTTTTCATTTTTCAAAATTCATTTTGAACTTTAGGTATCTCTTTTTTTTTTTTTTTCTTTTTTTTTTTGTGGTGGTATCTATACTAAAATTAGAATTTTGTACTTAGTTTTAAAAAAAAATCCCATTGATTGAATTTCAAAGTATTTAAATTGTTATTATAAACAGTTTGCCAGTTTTATTTTAAGTACCTACAGAACTTCTTAATTACAAATTTGTATTTCTACTTTGAAACTGATGTTTTATTTGAATGCAAGAATTTGAAATTGACTTCAATCTTTATGACTAATTGAAATTGGTTGATATGAAAAATTCAAAATTTTTGTTTTATTCTGAATGAAGATGTTTAAATTAGTTTGATTTTCAAATGATTATTTACTCCACTTGCCTGTTATTTTGTAGATACCCATATTTGAGTATGTACCCTGTATGTGTTTTTTGTGTTAGCCATATAAATTAAGTCACATGAATATGCAAGCTGGTTTTAGCCATATAAATTAAGTCACATGAATATGCAAGCTGGTAGCTGTAATGTGTTCTGTTAAAAAAAAAAAAATTGGGGCATCTACTTAAACATGGGTATCCATAAAATAACATTTGGAGTAGTAGGCAATGATTTGAAGACCATGTTTAAAGGCTGCTCTATCAGACAACATTTAAGCTAGCTTTTGCAGAGGCTCTTGATTGGGCCTTCATCACAAGAAGGTAAGGAGTAGGGAGGAGTAGATGTGAACTACAGAAGAACTCAAAATTGATCAATGAATTTAAGTATTCCATTAATACTTAAGCTTACCTTTTAAAAATTCAACAATAATTCTTCTGCTGCCATTTAATTTAAAGACAATTTGATGTACGTAGGTCCTTACTTTGCATACAATTTTATTTCGTGGGTGACTTTTGCTGGATTTTGTAATTTTGATTATTTCCAGGTTATAAAAATTATCATACAAAAAATTTGTTGCAAAAAATTGCTGAAAACAATGAAAAAAAAAAAAAAATTGCTGAAAATAATGAAAACTTGGGAATCCCAAATTTCAGGATTACTGGTCCAGATCCAGCCAAGAATTTGCATAGTAATTTTTTCATTTAAACATGAGCTATTGAAAGTTAGTTGTCTCTTTTGTTTTTATCAGTAGAAGCCAAGATGGTGGAATCTGAAAACTTGGGAATCCAAAATTTCAGGATTGCAGGTCTGGATCTGACCTGGAATGTTTTTAATTTGCTCATGGGGTCAGTCTGATTCCAAAATGCTATGAGATGTTGTGTTATGGCCTCTAGGAGTAAAGTTGAAAAAGTGTGACACACTGACATTTGCATTTATTACATAGAAGTAATAATTGCAGAAATCTTTTATAAAATTTTAACTAATTTCACTGAAGGCTTACCAATTGAATAATAACATATTTGAGGAAATTGTAATGGTTCTTGTCTGAGTGATAGCTGTAGTCAAGCTGATTAATTTAAAAAAAAAACAAAAAAAAAACTAAAAATAGCTACAATGATTATTATCATGTTTTACACTGTCAGTATTTTCTTTTGCATGCATACAGCCTATAGATTTTGGTTTTGAAACAATACTTAAAATTTAACCTAATTTTGATAATCACCACTACAGCATCATAGATTGTATTATATATGAAAAGCATCCATTTCTTAGTAATAAAGTACTTCTAAATAAAGTACTACTTCAGGCTCAGCATTAACTTAGTGGATTGAGATAGAGAAAATGGCAACTACTAATAGAATATTGCATAGTTTAAAAAAACATTTAATATATAGATAGGTACAACATCATTAACCAAAAATATTAAAGTTGGGATACTTCTCGGTAAGTTTCAAGATAATAATTTATTTTAAACTAGATTAAAATTAGAAAAAAAAGTTATATAAGGACTACAAGCTTTACTGATTGCATTTTTTTTTCATAAACCAGCATTGGCAGTTTCATTAAGCTCAAAAAAATTTATGGTATTAACTTTGTTATTGATGGATAATTTCCACTTTTCTGTTTTGGTTTGCATTATTCACATTATTCAGTTTTATTTATTTTTTCAGGATGAGTAAAATGGGATTGAATACCTACCTTTATGCTCCTAAAGATGACTGCAAACACAGAGCCATGTGGCGAGATTTATATTCAGTGGAGGAAGCTGGTAAGAATTTTTTTTTCCTCTACTAACTAAATACTCATCAATAATTAAAAAAAAATATTAAATAAAGAATTGTGTACCTAATATGCAAATTAACAATTAACAATTAATGTTTTTTCTTTTGTAGATTTTATTAGTTTGGAGTGATAGAAAATATTCTTTTGCTATATTTCTTAAGTTGTGACATTTGTTCATACTTTTTTTGTATCTCTACAAATTTCTCTTTAACAGACTGCCTGACAGGACTAATTGATGCTGCCCATGAACAGAATGTCGAATTTGTTTATGCACTTTCTCCAGGGTTAGATATTACATATTCTAGTACTAAAGATGTCACAGCTCTTAAGAGGAAATTGGAGCAGGTAATTCAGTTTTCTGCAAAATTATGGGAACTTATTTTATTGATATCATTACACCTCATTTGTAATAATATAGCCTAATTATATTGTAATATGTGAAATTGCTATTATTCTAATGTGCTAATAAATAATATTGGTTGTTTACAATTTTATCCAAAATTGATTTAATCAGGATTTACTTTGAATCTGCCACATTTTTTAAGGGATTGGTGCTATTAAATTAAAAAATATTAATTTAATGCTTTTATTAAGGTTGTGTGCAATATTTTGAATTAAAAATGTTTGTTCACTTGTATCTACTTGAATGTATGAAATATAATTCATATTTCTTTGTAGGTCTCCACATTTGGCTGTAATGCTTTTGCACTGCTGTTTGATGATATTGATCCCCAACTTTGTGAAGCTGATAAAAACATTTTCCAGTCAATTGCTGCTGCTCAGGTGTCGGTTACAAATGAAACTTACCAACACTTGGGACAGCTTAAATTCCTCTTTTGTCCTACAGGTAATTCAGGATTTTTTTATCTATTAGATCAATATAACATGTCACACATTTAAATATGCTTAGGAAAAATAGTTTAATGCCATTTTTATATCTCTGATCATGGTTCTCCACAACTTCCTTTTCCTTAGCTTAATTAAATAGCACAGATTGTTTTCAAGAACATTTTCTTCTCTCGTTTAAGTATTCTGAAATATACAAATAAATTTTAATGTTTTTCAATTACCTCTAGATTTTACTGATTAGAATTTCTGGAAAATTAAGTCAAGGGACTTAATTATTATTTGATAATATATCAAATTGAATTAAATACATTCAATTGTGAAATTAAATATTGATAATTTATATAAAGAAGTTTTTTTTTTTTTTTTTTTTTTTCAGAATACTGTGCTGCCCGTGCAGTTCCAGCTGTGGCCTCCTCAGAATATCTAAGCACCATTGGGGCAAAATTATTGCCAGACATTGATGTTATGTGGACAGGTGAGTAGAACCTATATATTATTACTTTTATTTGGGACTGGATTTTTTTCTTTTCTTGGATGTCGCTTTTTTGAGTCGTATGTTTTTATTCCATATTCATTTTTTAAATTTGTTTATCTTAAAAAAGAAGTAATAATAAGCATATTGTGCTAATGAAATATTTGACTTAACCAAATTTCAAATGATTAAAAATATTAACAATAATTAATTATTTCATGTGAGCAGTTCATTTCTTTATTTCTTTTTTTTGTTTATTCTTATTTTGTGAAAATACATTTTTTTTTGTAATCTGTTTTTATAACCTTAACTATATAACTTACTTTGTAATGATGAAATACAAATAGGAAAAGTAATTATTTTCTAGTTTAAAATCTTTTTCTTTCCAGGCTGTAAAGTTGTTAGTAAAAGGATAACAATCCAGACTTTAACAGAAGTATCAAAAGTGTTACAGAGGCAGCCAGTGATTTGGGATAACATTCATGCTAATGATTATGATCAGAGGCGAGTTTTCCTTGGTCCTTATGATGGCCGTTCTCCAGAAATCATTCCCTATGTGAAAGGTGTGTTGACCAATCCGAACTGTGAATTTGAAGCCAACTATATACCACTACACACCTTAGCACAATGGTGCAAGTCTAATGTAAACGGAGTTAAAAAAGATATTATTGCAGGTTGGTCAAAATTTTATTGTTAAGCTTAGTATGGCAGATTCCATGGGCTTTTCACTAGGAAACTCATTTAATAGTATAAACATGTCAAATGAATTCCTTAGAGACAGGGAAATCCAATATTTAAGAACTATTTACAATACTAATGTTCACTTTTAAGAATTTAAATTTTTGTACTTGCCCATATTATCACTTAATTCTAGACAGATACTCTTACTTTATGCCTCACATAGTCTTCAGACCACAGCTCAACAGGCATTGAATTGGATCTGGTCAAGGTCCAACATAAACAAAGTTAATTAGAACCATGCCCGCAACACAATGCTACTTCCGATGTGAAACACATCTGTTTACCGTCCATTCTATGTCATTTATAATGGTTACTATGTGCGCGTTGTGTATTGGTTAACAATCAAATGCTTTTAATACAAGGTTGAAGATCTGACTTGCTGTTGAAAAAAAAAAAAAAAAAAAAATCACAAGAGATTGACACATCTACACACAAAAAAAAAAATACCTTGTCTGGTGGCAAAAGCTGCTGGTAGCACCAGGGTCGGAAGTACTGCCTTAGCCACCAAGACTGTTACCTCCCCTGGTTGGCAGCTAATGAGGGCAGAGTATTGCACATGCTTTCACATGTATGTAGAAAATTATAATTATTAATGTAAAGAGTTTTGATTTAAAATCCATAACTGGAAAATCTGAACTTTATTTTAAAAGATTTTAGATATTTATGTTTAATCTACCGTCTACATGATGAATTTGTCCTGTTGAAATAATTAAAAAGTAGATCTTTGTGTTTTTTTTAATTTCAATTTCTTTGTTATTCAGGTGATCGTTTGAGCCCTATTGCATCTGACATCAAACTGGAAACGGAAATTGATTTCACATCAGATGAAGATATTCCTGCAAAATTTGACACCCGTTATCAACCAAAAGCTGCTCTTAAAGTTGCAATCAAAGAGTGGATCAAGGAATTAGCTCTGATCCGAACTTCACTTAGAATTCCCTTTCCCAAACCTATTGTTCCTATAATACCCCCAGTAAATACTTGTATGACTGTGACCCCTCCTACAGTGACCCTTCCAGCAGGATGCATGGTACCCTCCATACCTGTTGGTGTACCTGGGAGTGTATTCCCACCACCAGAGGTTGATAATCCTTCATTTATGCAACCTGTAATGGCACCAATAAACAGTTTAGTTGAACCCCCATCTGCAGCAGTCATTGAAGCAGAAAGCATTGGAGACACTCTTTGTCCAGATACAGAGCCAATGGACTGTTTCCCGTCCAGTACAACAGAGGTTCCCAAGGGAACTACTTCATCCACTTCATCATCAGCTGACAATGTCATGCAAGTAGACAATAGCAGCAGTAGTAGTCTTGCAGGTTCTTTTGACTCCTCAGACAATACAGAGGTACTTTCAAGTGAAGATCTTCGGCAGCTTGTTGAGCTCTTTCACATGCCATTTGAACATGGAGAGTGTGGACTGCAACTCTTACAAGAAATGCATTGGTTGAGGTCCAATGCTAATATCATTGCAGACAGTAGGGCAAAGAAAGCTTTAAAACCAGAGGTGAGACACATCTTCACGACATCATTTGTTAGTCAGCAATATCACATGAAAATGTAGTAAATGCAAAAATATATATTGCAAAACTTTATCATACATTTACGCACAATATTAAACTAACATTTTAATAATAAAATTTAATGAAGAAAGTTATTAGTTGACCCATTATACTTGGGGCCATCTGAAATTTATGTAATTGTTTTCAACATGCTTGCTTCTAGGTGTATTTATAATCAAAACTTTCAAAATCTTTTGTACACCATATGAACAGTGAATTTCAATAACTAACTTATGTTTGTCCTGTTTTATCCTAATTATCAGAATTTAAGTGTTCTACAAATGTACTTGATTCTTGTTTAATGTGAATTAGTAGAATATTAAAAAATATAAGATAGTGATAATTCAATATTTTGATTTAACTTCAATGAGAATTTGTTTGGTTTTTATCCCTTTTCACTAAAATGAATTCTGTGTAAAGCTTACTCACAAATGATATTTAGGATGATTACATTATTCGGACTATTGTCCTCATCTTTGCCATATTTATCACAATGTTTCTAGTGAGAATGTCGAACTAAACCCTTTATTTCACTCATTGGGGTAGACTGTTCTAGTTCCACGTGCTATGTCTAATGGGTGTCAGTTATCCCCTCTCCAAGTTCTCCACCACCTTAAACAGGTATTGAACTCTCACTCTTTTGGGTCTTTTCCTGTCACTGGGTCTAACTAACACCTTTATCCACTGTGCCATGTGTCCTTGAGGACATCTGTGTATGAATTTCTGGGTATTACAAACCTAATGTCTTCAGCAATCATTTTTTACCAGAGCTCATATTGCAATTTTTGTTGTTATTATTGCTTTTCTCTGGCACTCCTTATTTCTGGTTCCCATATTGTATTCATTTCTATGCTTGGTTGGCTCAGGAGATTTTTGTGGCCTAGCACATATGCTAGGCCACAAAAATCTCCTGGATAAAGGTGTTAGTTAGATCCAGTGACAGGATTCAAAAAAGTGTGAGTTCAATACCTGGTTAAGGTGGTGGAGAACTTGGAGAGGGGAATTAACAGGAGATAACTGAGAACTGACATTCATTAAACATGGCACGTGGAACTAAAACAGTCTACTCCAGTGAGTGAAATAAAGGGTTCAGTTTGATATTCCAACCACCTGAAGAAGGCTGGAGTGTACAACGGTTGAAACATTGTGATAAATATGGCGACAAAGATGAGGACAATAGTCCAAATAATGTAAATAGAGTACATAATACCTCATCTTAAAAAAATAATCTTAATAACACTTCACTTTCAAATGACTATATTTAATTATAAACAAACTAAGCTACTTTTTTTGTTAAATCAATATTTTAGGATTCTATCAATGATTTCAAATATAATCTTTAAAAGTGAGAAGAATATTTTCAGTGGATATCTAGTGTTAAATGCAACTTTGTTTTGCCTAGAAATATTTTTGACTGCAAGTAATTGAATTACAGCTGTTTTGTGAAATAGTTATATTTTAATTCTTATTTGGAGTGGCGTTTGTTAAATTGAATAAGTGTTTTTGGTGTAATAGATTTCAAAGTATGTTAATAGTGCATATATATTTGTGAAATTTGCGTTAAGAACATATGAAATTAAAGTATTATTTTGTTATTTCTTTTCTAAATTTGTAGGCAGAACAATGGCATGATAAAGCAAAAGTCTTTTGTGAAGGTGTTGACAGGATCTTCACAATTTTTGACAAGTTCTTCAAGATTCCTAATCGCGCTATTGCATATGAACTCTATCCTTATGTTTGGGATTTGAAAAGCATTCTCATATTATGCAAAGCACATGTTCAGTGGATGGGTAAGTTGCAGTCTTAGAGTTTTACTTTGCTGCTTTTGGGTTGGGGTCACTATTTCAGTTTAAAAACTGATTGTTAGATATGTTTTCTTTTCAATATGCTGTCTTGAAAAACTTAAACAGTTTATATGGATGTATATGATACGGATAAACTTTCTATATGAAACCATGATATATTATGAATGACCTGAGAATCAAGAAATTACAAACTCTGAATATTCTATAATGAATTGACTTATCTGATATCAAAACATTTATAAAGCACTTGTTCTATTTAACATTTATGAAATAGAACATGCATAGAATATGAAAAATATAAAGTATAAATAGCTTTTTGTAAGCTGTTGATTTTGAAGTGCATTTTATGGTTATTTTAGAATAATACTTTTCCTTAACCTCTATACTTATCCTATAGTAAAATGAAACTGGCAAACACTTTAAATGCTACTTTGTTAAAGCTGCAAATTTCCAATAACTCTTTTTTTGAAGATGATAGAAAATAAATAACTAAAAGTTTAATATCAATAGGCTTAAGTTTTGATGTGGTTGGGGAAAGTTAATGATTTTATATAGAGACCTTTAGCATTCAACACACTGAAACTTGTCCTGTAAATATCAGCTCTCATTGTTCAACCCATTGTAACCTGCCATATGTGGCAGTGTCATGTAAACTGAGATTTTAACTACATCATGCTACTCCTGCTATCTCTTTGATTAGTAAAGAAAATACAAGTTTTACAATTATTTTTTTTTTCCTTCTTCTTCAAAACACTCATTTGAGGGATATATAGCCCAGATTATTCTAGAATCTGGGGTGGGAATGAAAAACCTGTAAGTGCAAGATGAATCAGATATCAACATTTTTTACATAATGATGAGCTGCCTGATTCAGATGAGGATAATGATGTTGACATGTGTCAGATTTTGAGGAGACAAACAATGTCAATTTGCCAGCATTTTTACAATCTAATGGGCATAGGCATTCATTGTTGAAGGATATCAAGCAAGTCTTTGTTTTTGATTGATTTGTTTTATGAAACTTTGCCAACAGAAACAAATGTGTGAATGCATGGGGAGATATATAATGTGAATGTTAAATGGTTAATGGCACTTTTAAAGATCTATTTTAAAATTGATCAAATAGATTTTACTTTTGCGAACTGCTTTTAATTTTTACAATAAAAATTCTTTATTTTTTTTATCCATTGCTTTGAGATTTGTTTTTAAAGGTGGTCAAATTTTTTTTTATGTAGATAATCACACACAGCCCCTTATCTCAAAGATGAAAAATCTTATTACTCCCGGTACCTTTTGATTGCCATACTTAAATGTATGTTGAGAATAGTTAAGTGTTTAGTGATGTGTGTTTAGATTTTTAATCTTGTTTCATTGCTAATTTTACTGATTGTGTAAAGTTAAAATTTCAATGTAGTTTATGGAATTTCGTTTGGGTGAACCAATGATTAACCATATAAATGTCCTTATCATACTCAGTGGGACAGGTTATAAGTGCAAATTGTGGAATTTCATTTTTTAAATATTTCTCTGTAACGCTATAGAATTTTTGTATATTCAATACACATTTAATATTTAATGAGAAGCTTGTTCAGTAAATGAATATTTTTGTATTTTGTAATGACATTTATTTTAATATCTCTTCATTAGCAAATGGCACCTAATTTATGCAAACAGCAAAACTGTAAAGCCAATCATATAATGCTCTTAATTTTTATCTTCGTTTTTATAACTTCAAACGTTATTATAGTGGGTACTTGTATTTGACTATTTCTGCCAACGTGCATATGAGAAAAAAAACTTACAGGCCAGTAGACATAATACACTCTGTTTAAAGTAAAAAATATCTAGTACCTAATACAAAGTATCTGCTATAATAACGGTTGAAGTAATAAAAATTTTGGATTAAAAATAAATCCATTGTTTAAAAATTTCAATCATTGTGGAGTTGTAAGCCACACAAACCAATCTATTTTGTATCATTAGAGACTAAAGAGACTTTATTAAATGATAAAAAATTTGGATTAAAATTATATTAAGAGCAATTATGAGGAAAAAAAAAAAACTTGATATTTTTTTTTTCTCTCTCTCTCTCTCTCTCTTTTAAGAACTTGAATACTTCAACCAAGTAGGTCAAGCAATTACTTCTATTAATATTAAATCTAATGCAAACTATTTGGTAATTTTACAATTGTAACATTAAATATAAGAAACAAATTTTTAGAATGAAAAATACTTTGAATAAAACAAAGCAAGTAAAATAGAAATTTAGTTATTTGTAAGTCCATGAAAGAATTCATACTCTGAACAGGCTTTAAAGTTTTTCAAATATGTTATAATTTTGGGATTTATATCAAGTCCTAAAATTGAAAGCTTTCTCGTTTTAGAATGAAAGATCCCCCTCCCCCCCCTTTTTTTTTTTTGTAAGTAGTTGATTTTCTTGTATATCAGGTTTGATCATGGCTTAAAAATCTGTACTTGGTTATGTGAATCCTAAACATGGAACAAACAGTTATTTATATACAATTGTATGTATGCCACAGGTATTTATGAAAATTCATTGTGTTGGGCTAGCTGAATTATAGTTTCAAATTGAAAAGATTTATTCTAAAAAGATTTTATATTTGTGGGATTGATTAGTATTTCTTTCATTACTACTGTCAACTTGTAATTACAAGAATGCCAATTTTTGTCTGCACTTGCAAATGACATGATTGCCCTGTTTAAATAATTTCTGGTAATAGTGTTTTTATAAAAACAACTTTTTTTTTCATTCTTTCTTTGAAAGAGTCATTTGAAATAAGGTCCTATTATTATTATTATTATTATTATTATTATTTTCTTTTTTTTTTTTTTTTTTTTTTTTTTAGCATGACTTTTTATTTTACAAATTTTTATGCTTATTTTTTAATTTTTTTCTTGTATCTGCTAAATGCAATTATTTGCCCAGTCTGGACTTGAGCAATAGGCTTTTATTTTTCTTTCAGTTCTTGTTTCAAGCCACTTATTATTTTTCCTTTTTTTTTTGTCTATTTCAGGTCTTGGCCATGTTCCCTATTTGTCAGTAATGCATCAGCAAGGAGCCTTGACATGTATGCACTTATCTTAAGCAATTCCCTTTGAATTTTTTTTTTCCTTTGGAAAATGCATATCAATATATGTTTTAATTATTGTTCATATAAGTGATGCATGTTTATAATTATAATTATTTTTACTTTTTAATTTCCAAAAACTCTTTGGCAGCTTTGCACAGCCATATTGTCAGTGCATCTCAAGATCTGTAGCAAATGCTTTTTTTTTTTTTTTTTTTTTTAAATTAATTAATTTCTGCAATGTTTTTACACAGGATTTTTTTAATCAAATAATTTCATTTTGGTCTGCAATCTTCCTGAGCATTCACAAAAGCAAGAACAAGTAAATAAAATAACATTGGTGATATACAATATTATAAAGGTTAACTGGTATACAATCCAAGATACATTTTTAAATCATTTCCTCTCAGTGATGAAAAATATGTTAGTATTTATGTTTCTCTGTAATTTAATATTTTTTTTTTTTTTTAAGTTATTTTATTTAAAATGATTTAAGAAAATTGCAGTTAATATTTGCTCAATTGTTTTATCAATAAATCTATGACTTTGGTAGAGAGTAATCCTAGACTTCAAGAATTGATAAATTTAGATGTTAAAATTGAAATGAATTCCTGACATTGTTTAATATCTGCATAAAAATATATTTTGACAAATTGTTAGCTGCTTCCATCCTCTTGGATAGTGTAAGGAAATTTCCAATTTCTTAATTTATTGATAGAAATGACGAATGCTAAAATTGATCAATTATGTAAAATATCAAAGTTCTGGACTGTTTGAACTAGAAGTCATGTAGCAACCTTAACTCTTAATTCTTGTTCTTTAGATGGAAGCGACAATTTATGAAGACTTAGATTCATATTTTTAACCTGAGAGGTTTTCTAAATCTTGGATTCTGTTCAACAATTTCTTGCATGTTTTTTATACTGTTTTTTTTTTTTTTTTTTCTTCTTTTAATTTTTTTTTTTTTCTTTTTTTTTATTTGGCAGATTTGCTTAAAGATAGGTATGGTGGGGTAATGTTCTCAGTCATTCTTTTGTTTGAAGTAAATAGTCCCAGTACTTTAACATTTTTATTTTATTTATTATTTTTAATTAATTTTTCCATTTTCTTTTACATACCCTTTTTAGGACATTGACTGTTTGCTATAGCTGGCATCATCTAAGCTACATCTCTTTCACAGTTGCGATTGCTTAATGTGTATATATATATATATCTCTCTCTCTCTTTCTTAATTGCTGTTCCTGTTGCTGTGTGATACTGATGATGATGGTGATAATATTAATCAATTATGATTACCGTCTTTTGAATAGTACCAAGTTTGAATTAAAAGTAAGCAGGAACAAGTTACTGTGCTCAACCAAATACAGAATCTTTGCATCTAGTCTTTATTTTTACATTTTTTTTCTTATTTTTGTTGTAATTTTAAACTCTTCACAAAGAAAAAGAAAATTGATAAAAGCTGTTAGTTTCATTTGTCAAATTATTTTTGTATTACAATTTTTCTTTTCTCTCCCCACTCTTTTTTTTCATTCTTCTAAAAAAAAAAAAAAAAAAAAATTTGTTTGATGCAAACTTTCTCAGTTTGGTTCAAGCTGGGCTTCTTCCTGCTCACTTTTTTAACTAATTCAATTTCAATGACAAGGTTGATGGCAGAAAGTTTCCTCCTACTGTGTTTGTCTATACAGTAAGATAGCAACTTTTTGCTCTTCCTATTTTTCTTTATTCTGTATAATGCATTCACAGGCTGCTTTTAAGTATATTTTAGTTTTAGCAATTTCTCTGTTCTGCAATGTTTTTCAATTCAACATAACATCAAAATACTGGAGGGGGAAAAAAAAAGCTTAGTGATGAAATAGATTTAGAACCTGTTAAAACCAAGTCTATTGTTTTTATAAATAATGTTAGGAGAGGAAAATTGGCTGAAAGCATGGCACTCGGCACTCTAACAGGTAAAAAAAAAAATGACTATTTTCTTTTTAAAAAATTTACTGAATGAATTTGCTCACTTCACAATCTGCTACATATTTGCAGTGGACCAATAATCACTTTTAGTTTATTAGATAATAAAAATAATTTCTCTCTCTAAGAATGAAATCAATTATACTGATCAACATTTTCTTTGGGGAAAAAAAAATTATAAACTTAATTGAGTGATATTGATTAGACGAATTGTGTAAACTTGACAAACTACTATTTCAAATATATGTAGTGTGTGTAATATATATATATATATATATATATATATATAATATACACATACATTGTATTAATAGTGGATTTTAATTAATCCTTTCATCCAAGGATATCTTCAATTAAAGCTAATCTTTACTATGGGAATTTAAATTTTAAATATTCAATTTCTTTATTTTTACTCTTAATTCGGTTGTTTTCTTTTTATATTCAATTTTTAAAAAATCTGACATCTCTTTGCTTCTAAATGGGTCATACTGCTTGATAAGTTATAGAGTTTTCTTTTGTATTGAACATGAACATTTAGGTTAAGTATGCTTTTCTTCTGTTTTGCTTTTTCCCTTTTAAGTAATTTTGATGTTTTTTTTTTTTTATTTTTTGATGTGTTAGTTGTAAAAACAGTGAAATTTTGAATGTTGTTTATACAGAATCCTATACATATATATGTATAATATTTACATTTATATGTATTTAATATACTATTTTGGAAACCCAAGTAATTTAAAAAAAAAAAAAAAAATGGAAGCAAACTGTGAATCTAGTCAGAATTTAAAAAAAAAAAATGCCTTTCAACTGTAGTCTGTGTTGGTCATACAGAATTGTCTCTTCCTCTCCACTTATATATTTATAATGCTGTGTTTAATTTGTTCAGCTGTGAAAGAGTTGTGGCTTATATGTAGCAGCATACTGACATTCTTTTACTGTTCCACAGTTCACTCTTAAAGATTATCTTATAAGCAGCAGACATTATTAGATATACAAATGGTCTTAGCTCATGTAGTTACTTTTTAATGCAGTACATACTATCTAGTTGTATAGTAGCATTGTTAATAGTATTAAGGGTTTAACCAGTGAAGACCATTTTTTTTCTTAAGATTCACATAAAGAAGAGTAATTTATGTGGAGGGCAGATGAAAGCCTTATTTTTAATGATTTAAAAAAAAAAAATCTTAGAATTGTTTTTAAATTTTCTGCCCTCTTCTATCTAAAATTACAAAATAGGCATATTTTTGTGCTGCTGTTTTCAAATGATAATGGCTAACAACTTAATGACAATATTGATCCCCATCATTGTACCTTGTCTAAATTTTTCAAAACACTGACAGGTATGTGACTGCTTCAAACCAAAGGCTGATAACCTCAGTTACTCTTCACTGGGAAATCTGCAGAGGGCCAAGGACACTGATTATATAGATTTTCTTATGGTTAAAATAATAATAATTATAAAAAAAAGATGAAATACCATTCTAGAGACTGGTCTGTTTAAATTTTCTCACTGCAATTGAATCTTTAACATCACCAACTCTAATGGAGTGAAAAAATGTTTCCCACCCCCACATCAAATAAAACTTAATTTATTGCATTAAGAAGACATTGCCCTATCCCCACTCCTCCAAAGGAATTGAACTTTTTTAATGTTTTATGAATTCAGTTATATATAATCTATTTTAAGAAAGCGAATGATTAAATAATTTAATTTTTTTAAGTTATATTGTTGATTTTAGCTTCCTCAAATAACTTATGATTTTAAAACTTGATTTTTTTTTTGTTTCAAAACCCAAGGTGTCCTTGGCTGAAAAACTTAATTTATAAAAAGAAAATTTACCAATGCATATTGTAACTATTACCAAAATTTCTATTTCTTGTTCTTTGCTTATTGTTGAAATCAAAATGAAAAGGAAACTTTTTCATAGAGGTTAAGAGAAAGTATCTGCTTTGCTGAATTGGTGTGTTGCATGGCTGTGCAACGCTCCAATGCATTAATGTGGTGTTATACATTGTCCATCTATTCTTTCTCCACTTGCTTTTTCAATAGTCTTTACTCAGTCCTTTGAAATGTCTATATGGAATAAATTTCAAATTACTATAAAAGTATCTTTTTCTGGATGATCTAGTAGTATGATTTTTCTGGATATTTCAGCTTGTGTTAGATTTTTGTTTGGCTGCTTTTGTCTCTTTGGATAGATTTGAGTATTCCACTTGTATTTTTAATTCCTATTTTTACAGAATTTGTCTTATAAATGCACTTGAAGAAGTTTAGTATTTGAGTGCCAGAAAAAAATAATTGCTGATGACAATCATGATAATGTTTCTGTCATTTAAGAAAATAATATAATTTCTCTGAGATATTATGCTTTCTCTTTAATTAAGAATTTAATTCTTAATTAGTGTAATTTTTGATTAGTTTAATTCTTGACATTGTTGCCTTTGGTATTGCAACTACTTTAGAAAAACAAACACCAAGGAGATCATCTAAAATCTTTAATAACATATTTGTGTTCTTTCGTAATCTGATGAACTGTGTTGCAGTTTAATCAAGCTTTCTGTTTTAGATGTCATCAGTTTTATAGTGAAACGAGTCAATAGATTTTTTTTTTTTCTTTTTTCATTGGAAGATGACTACTGATTATTGCATAAAATGATTGCTTGCAATTAATAAGGTATTTAATCAGTGTTGGAGAATTGCAAGCCTTTCAATATTTAAATAATCATTTCAGTCAAGTGTAAATTGTTAATAAATTGAACAGTTTTAAGTCTAGAGTCTATCAGAATATTTTGCTGTTATTCTCAATCTTGAATGAAGACCATAGATTCTAGTATATTTTTGTTGTTCTTCGAAATGTGATAGAAATTTGTAATGTATAAATTATCAGTTTTTGAAAATAGGAATTTGAATATTTAAAATTATTACAGTGTTTTCTTGATATACAAGTTTCCATTGTCAACGTGTATTTCTGGTGTTGAGATTTTTTTCCCACATCAAATAAAGGAAAAAAAGAAAATGATAATACATGGATGTAACTTTATTCTTTTTGGAGCATGTGAAACATTTTCTTTATCAACTGTATTCTATAAGTAATTATTTTATTAGTTAATTGTAAGTCTTTTTGACAACTTTGGAGCTACATTTTGTGATAAAAACAAAGTGGGTCTAATTTGCACAAATCCACCTTGCTCCTTGTCCACGGTTATAATTTATAAGAGTAATAATTTTCAGTTTTCACAGCTGTCTAATGAAGAACTTAAATCAATCACATTATAAACTTTTCCCATCTGATTTAGTTATGATGCCTGGTTTTGAATGGCAAACTAAAAAGGAGAACTTAAAGGCTTAATGTTTTTCTTGTCAATAAGTGAAGAGTGTGTGGAAGCTGGCCACTTTTCACTAGACCGTTTTTTCTTCAACTTCACTCTGGTTGGTGATGTATAGCTGATCTGATTTTATTTTCTTTTTTCACTGGACCTATAGGGTGCACTAATGGCTATAAAGAAGCTTTCACAAGTGGAGATCAGGAACCATGGGTCTTTCGTGGTGGTCTTCAGGCAGAGTTCCAAGTATGTATGCTGATGGCGACTGCAACCACCTTTTTTCAGCATTCTCTTCTGGCACCAGGCGTCGACGAAAAGCTAAAATAAAAAAAAAAATCTTTATTTAAATATAAACATAACATTTTTTTCCCCCCATTATGTTGGAGTAATGAGACATTGTTTAAGATGAAAGAAAATAACTTATTGCCAATTTTCTCCTCTTCAAGCTTAATATGATTTTTTCTTTTTCTTTTTTTTTTTTTTTCTCTTTGCTTGCTCTGAAGAAATCCAACTTTACTAGTCAACCTTGGAATTCCTCACTTCCTTAACTTTTATTTTTAATTTTTTTTTTCTCACACAAGTCATTATCACCCTCAGCCTTTCTTAGTAAAGAAAAGCATGTTTTTATGGGAAAATGCATTTAAGAAAATCTTTTCTATATATTTTTATTTTAATTTTTTTCTTTTTTTTTGTTTGCTTTTTTAAATTATTTATTCATTTTTATTTTTAATTTTTTTTATTTTATTTTTTTTGAAAAAATATTAAAGATTCACTATTTTTTTTTTTTTTTTTTTTTCTCCTCATTGATCCAAAAACTTGCAAAGTTGAATTTCTTCACTGAAATATTTTTTCATTTTTCTATTAAATTACATTCTTTTGCAGTTGCAAAGATGTGCGCGCTGAAAAACGTTTTAAAGCTCGGATGCCAGAAACCATTTTTCATTCTTGACTTTTTCTTTATTAAAGAACTCGAGGGTAGGGTGGGGGTAAAGGAATGTGAGAGACAGGAAGCAGAATCATTTTTTTCTCTCTCTCTCATAATTCCTCCCTTCTACTTGATCTTGTCATTTTTTGACTCTATATTGAAACTGGTTTCTGTGTTGAAGAGTGATTGTTGACATTCATGCCTCTATCAGTGCTCAGTGCTACCTCGGTCACTTGCTTTATTAGTGTTTTCCCTGGCTCCATTTTTTAGTTGTGGATAATTATCTTTGACACCCCCACTTAAGTCTTCCAGTGCTCACAAGATGAACTGTTGTAGTTAAGTTGCTTGCTACAAACCACTAAAGCACATAAAAGTAAAAATTATTTTTACATATTAAAAACATTTTTTTTATTTGATAATTGTTTTTTTCTTTTTCTCTTTTTTTTTTTTTTTTTTATTATTATTATTATAGGAAGCTAACACACTCACTTTGGTTGGTTGTCAACTGGTCGCTTCCTGTTGTTGTTCATTGCATTTATGAAACTTAGTTTTGTATTACTTGGTCTTGCGTTATTACTGCTGCTACTGCTATCACCTCAGTCTTTTTAGGGAGTGTACAAGCCCCTCTCCAAAATGTGCAGGCCTGTACAGAAACTTTATATAGATACAAATGAAAATACATGAAGAACACTCATTCACATAATAAACATACACACACACACACACACATATGCGCCTTAGTTAGGTGAGAAACTTGAAAGTGAGCGAACTAGCATAAAGCACTGTTCTAACGATTGCACCAATTTGTTAAGCTTGAGGAGTGGATTCTATTTGATCACCCATCACTTTAAGCAGATCATGAGAATTTGCAATCATCTAGAGATACATTTCTCTAGGTTGATTTCTAATGATTTAAATACTCCAAAATTTATATAAATTTTAATGTCATTTATATATTGAGAAAATCAAAATTGTACCTTGTGGTCTCTTATCAATGTAAATTACATATTTACTTTTTTGGCTTACACACCATTTCATATCCTGGGATTAATTTTTATTCTTACAAGTAAACAAAATTTAGTTTTAAAACTGAATATTTTGTGTATTTCATAGTCAAATATTTTTAAGTAGCTAAATCATGTTTGAGTTTCTCTTGCAGATTTCCCCCCACTCCCACCAAAAATATCTTTTTGGAGAAGAATAATGTAAATTACTGTTTTTTTTTTTGTTTTTTTTTCTCCTCAATTTTTATCGTTCCAAATGAATCCAACAGTTATAGAATTATTAGAATGATTTTTTTTTCATTTACTTTGCTTGTTTCTCATGATCTGCTTGGAAAAGAATTTCTTAACCTTTTTAGAAAAAAAGTGCAATTTTGTTGGGATGAACTTTGTTATACATTGAGCCCCATCTTGATTGCCTGTGACATCTGCGCATGCGTTCTCCTCCAGCCGAGAAGTGTCACCTTATTCTCGCGCGATACCTGCATCTTTTCTTTTTTCTAGGAATGCTAATAATTTTCTTTCCTTTCTCTAGCATATGCTTCCAATTGATGGAGCTCATGACCTTTTCCTATTGAAACCTCCGGAGCCTCCTGTCAACAAATATTACAACATTAGACCATATGTGGCTTTGGATGAGGTAGGTAGCACCATTTTCATTTGGTGCAGCTCCACTTAAATTTATTTTTCTCCAGGTTTTCATCTAACCTAGTGGCTCTTGGAAATAAAACAACTCACAAACTGTTCTACTTTTTCTTGACTGATTGGTACCAGTGAAGAGAGGAACTTGTTGCTTTTTTCCCAGTAAGTATATGCTGCTGTGTTGTAAGGATGGCAGCCAACAACTTTTGCTTGGTGACTATTTCTTTTGAGATTGTTGGCAGGCAAATCTTTTAACCACTTCAATTTTACTTTTTCTTAAGACTTCAGAAACTATAGCTAAGATAATTTGTATTGTTTTGATTTTCAAAGAAATAATTAATCTAAATTTGCTTTTCAGTGCTTAAAAGCATTAGCATCATTTGATAACTCAAATTAATACTTTGTTCATTCTTGATGGATTATTTAAGATATTAGATGAGATCTAAATGGAATGTCTGGTTTTCACTTTTGCTTTTTTTAAGCATCAATAGCAATACCTAACTGATTACATTTTTTTAAAATTCATTTTGATTATTTAGTTTACTTTTGACACCTGTGAAAAGTAAATTAAGCAGTCAAACTTTTCTTTAAGGCTTGATTTATCTTTTACTTTAAGTCTTTTCTTTTCCTACCACTTAACCAAAATTATATTTATGTATCTTATTGGAAATTACTGTCAAAAAATACTTAATTTTGTAACATTATCAATGGTTTGTTTTTTCTTGCCCCTTTCCAAGATAAAAATTGTAAACCTTTCCATGAAAGCTTAACATCCTTTTATCTAGAATTTCACTGATAATCAAATTTTCATTATAAAAAATGATTTATTCCTTTTATTTTTTATTTTTTTTAATAATTTTGTTTATTTTCCTTATGTGTTCATCAAAATAAGTTTATTTACAGTTGGTCTTCTGCTTTATTGTTCAGGCTGCTGTGTATGAAGTCTGCCGCCGAACATGTGATGATGGCATGGATGGTACAGATGTCTTTCCTGATATGCCAGATCTTATTGGAGACAGGTAGGAGGAATTGACTCGAAGTCTTTACACTAGGCAAGAAGTATGCAATACAGCATAAAAATATCAATTATAAGCATATTTTCTAATTTTAAACAAAATTGCTTTTGGTATGAATGTAAAATTTATAAAATGATAGTTGATTAAATTTCAACAAAAAACTAGCATAATGAAATTTAAATTTTGTGCATGAACTATGTTTATATTTAAACATTTTAAATTCTATTTGCAACATTTTTATTTAAAAAACTTTATGCTAACAGTCTGAACAGTTGTTATTTCATTATACTTGTATCATTAATTTGAATATTTTAAATTTTAAACTTAATGAATCTTAATTGGATTATATTAGTTTTTTTTTATGCTTTGCAAGCTGTAGTTTGTTTTTTGTATAGTAAGAAAATTTTAGATATTACCTCAATCTTATTAAAAAAAAAAAAAATATATATAATGGAAACTTGTATCTCATTGAGTATTTATCACTTTTTTCTAACAGGCTTGTTGGTAGTTTTGTGACTCTCAGCCCAGAATACTGTTTTGTGGTAGAAGATGACAAAGGTGTATGCTGCTATGCACTTGCAGCTTTTGATGCAAAATTGTTTCAGCAGAGAACAGAAGATGTCTGGATTCCAGCGATGTGTGAAAAATATCCCAAACCTGTCAAAGAGGAATTGACACCAGCTGATGTAAGTATAACTATTACTTAATTTTTTTTTCTCTTATTTTTATTGTAACAAAAGTTTGTCACTAGTTATTAAAGAAAACATAATTCAAGTATTGACAATTCTATAGAGATAATCTGGTTGATTTATAACTTATATGCTTATGGCATTACTGACTTTTTTTTTTTTTTTTTTTTTTCCATGTAAGTTTTTTGATAAATAAAAACAATTCTAATTTGATGCTACACACGTGCCTTTTACTCACTTTTAGAAGTTGTAGCTCTTGCCATTACATTAGTTGCATCTAATCTGTTTAGCAATATGTGTCATTTTATAATAGAGAATTTATCAGTTCATACAGTGCAAAGAGTCCTTGAACAAATTTAAAAAAAAATTGTAGATTTAAATTTCTTTTTTTTTAATAACATTTAGTTTAAACTGGAGCAATAATTAAATGACCTGAGCTCTTGTTAAGTCTTCTTGAAATTAGTTGAATTCTATTATATAACTTCCACCACCACCCACTATTTTCACAAATAATGCTCTTATAACTTTGTCACTAAAATTGTCTTTTTTTTTTTTTTTTTTGTTCTCCTCAGGAGGTTGTGCTTAGTTTCCACAATCGTCCACCACGCATTCCAGCAAATGTGTTTCAGCGTTATCCCTCAGTGATCCGTATTGACATTTTGCCTGGACGTATCTGTGACCCAACCATTCCTTACCGATTATTAGCAGGTTGTTTGTCTGCCCTTAAGACTAATGGCTCCATTGGAGTATTCTGTGAATTGAATGTTGGGGACAAGTACCTCCTTGAATTCTACAGTCGCCTCGGATTTTTCCAGTTTCTCAGCCCAGAATCAGGCCCAGAAGACACAATGTACCTTGGGCGCATCATTTAGCAGCAATAATAGAGATTACAATCTTTCTTTTCCTTTTTATTCATGAGAATTCAACACTAGCGTCAGAGTAAGTCATTGGAAATCTTACTCTCCGACTTATTCTGGTGGCGGTGGGAAAGTGCTGTTGCTGCTGCTGCTATCTGATGTTGTCATCAATGGCTGACAAGAGACTCTGTTGCTGCCTACCCAACTTTGATGACCAGCATGAGGAAATAAATCGGCCTTTTTTGTGGGCTGTTTTGTTATCTGTGATCAATGATTCCATACAGACATCTTGTATGTTATATTTTGTATCAAGATTATTTAACTTGTAAATAAAATGTTCGTCTATAAAAGAATATTTTACATCTCTTCTTTTGCATGTTAGAATTGAGAAATGATGATAATTTTTATTTCATCTTTATTATTATAAAAATCTGTGAATGTTGCTTGTGTGTTTGCCAGATGTTATATATAGAGAGTGGGTGTAAAAAAGATGTAAATTTATTATCGTGTAGGAAAGTGGGTAGAGAAGAGAATGGAGAAATAAACCTCTCTCCTTCCACCTTCCTGTGATTGCATGCATGCTTATTTATATTTCAGCTTTCTTTAAACAAACAATATTTTAAATATTTTTATTTCAACTTTCTTCAAACACAATTTTTTTTAATGTTGAAAGTAACTTCAATGTTTATAATCTGAACCTTCAGCAACTCGAAGCAAAAAATATTGTAAATAAGTGTTTTGTAAATAAATATAAAGTTTAATAAAATGTATTTATATATTTCCTAAACTAACTGCAGATAAATGTATTTTTAAAATATCTCTACTTTTATAAACTCTTCATGAAACTAAATGTAAACAAAACAAGGTTGACTTGACAGGTCACAAGTGGTCAAGTCTAAAAATGACCTAAGCCTGATAATGAAGCATTGAATGATTTAAAAAAAAAAAAAAAAAAATAATCTCACAAGTTCATTGTTTATGCCAGACTGGTTTCACTGACCTCTGATTGATACCACAAGTTAAATAAAGGAAAAAAATATTTTTTACTTGATAATGGTTCCAAAATGCAGGATTCATGATGCTGGCAATTTGGATATCTCTAAGAGAAGCCATAAAGTTGATTCCTTTTAAGTGAAAGGTTTTGACGATATGAATAGAGAGAAAAAGAAAAATATAAAATTATGGTGAGGTTGCTGAAAGCTAACACTAAGAATTCATATTCTATCCATCTTGTTCCTTTTATTGTACTATATTGTAATTAGTCTAGTTTATTCTTAATCACTGTTGTTAATCTTTTATTGTGCCTAATTTATAAATGAAGCTTAGAAAAGCATGGATAGGTGAAAAAATAAAATTTGGAATATATCCTCACCTTTTTTATTAATAAATATTAAATTTACCATTACCCCCAAACCTCCCCCTCCGCAACCCCCCCCTAAATCTATGGTAGTTGATCGGCTTTTTGGCAGGATAAATGCTAAGTTAATGCAGTTGACTAGAATGAAATAAAGGCTATTGAAAAATACTTGGACTAATAATGTATCATTTGTTTGGAAACTTTCCAAAAACTGCTTCAGTTTTCTCTTCTATTTTTGTTGTGATTACTTTGGATAAAAAGATTGATTTTTTTTTTTTTTTTTTTTTTAAGGATTTATTTAGTCACCAGTTTTTATTTATAGGTTAAATAACATTTAGGTTTACCTTGAGATTGAAAGTTGCATATATTTCATGCCATGTGTCAAAAATCACTGTTTATAACAAGACAAAAAACAAGTTAATTCTTTGATACATTGTAAATTTCATATTTTCTATTCAGTTAAAATTACTCTAAATTCTGAAATTAAATAGGGTTTGGAATTTAAAGTGCAGTCCATTTCTATAGGTATGGTCTCTGGTCACAAAATTCAGTAAATCCTTTTAATTCTGACTCTACTGATATTTTTAGGTAAGAGCATAAACTACTTTTTGTACACTTAATAAGGTAGCTTTCATTGATTTGGTACAATTGATAGAAAAGGATGGATAAGTGAGCTGTCTGGTAAACAGTCTTATATTTTATATGCTCATTAAACAAAAAAAATATCCTAATCTCATTGAAATCCAGCGTTTAAGAAAAGATTGCTAAACCAATTATATCCACCTAAAAAAAATTATTTGAAATATTTTAAATTGGGGAAAATATTTCATCTGTGATTTATAAATTTTAAAAGGAACATTATTCACATGTGTAAAGAAATAAAATTTCAGAATTTTATTAGAGCCTATCCATATTTATTACAGACATTCTAATTTGTTGTTCACTCTGAGGATATGTTCAATAAGTGGTGTCTACTTACAAGAGACCTGATCGTCCATTGTACTTGTAAGGATAGAGATCAAGGCAATTGTGGCATGCTTTTTAAAGAAAAGACTGAACTAGTTTTCATTTTTTTTTGTTTTGTTTCATGCATAGACTTAACAAATAATTAAAATAAAAGCTATTGTATAATAACAAAATGAGATGTTAAAATGAATCATTGCTTCTATAATTTGATTTAATTTGAGAAAGTGTGAGGAGTAGAGAAAAAAGCCTTAGGAAATATCTTGTGTAATTTTTTTTTTTTTTTTTTACTTTTGTCAAATGACTTCTTATCCCCCAAGATAAATTTACTAATACTCATAATTTGGTTGCTGCTGTTGGAATAGCAATAATCATCTTTGCCTTCTGACATCATAATTTTTTGTTCTAAATAATGCAGATTTAATAAAATGACTGAAATTTAAAAAAAAATAATTTCATAATTTAAATTTTTTTTTATTATGAAATTTATTAAATTCTTTATTTTGCATTGTTTTAATATCTAATTGGATTTGATTTTTAATTTTTTTTTTTTTTTTTTTCTTAACCCCAAGCCAGGCAATAAATCCATTAAGATGCAAAGGGTTACTGAGTGTTAGAGAATATGAGAAAAAATACTATTAAGGAAAGAGGACAAGAATTAAGATAGCAGATAATGATTGACATTGCATTTAAATTTTTTTTTAAGTTAAAATGAAAAAATAATTTGAAAATTTTCATTTTAACAATGAACCATATTAATATAATTAAAGGTTTCTCTGCTATGTATTGTGAAAATGTATATTATGAAAAACAATACAGTTCAAATATTTCCCCAAATTTTATACCTCAACAAACCTGCTAATTTATGATCTAGTCCTTTGCTTAATTATGCCATTTTATTGTCTAGGACTGGTTCCAAAAGTGAGGTGCAATTTGATTTTTAAGGAGAGTAATTTGGGAATGAGTTATTAGCTGAATTTTTTTTCTAGTGAGTCTGTATGAGTGTGTATGTTATTAAAATTTGATGATTTATAAAGTTGTTTTAGTGACAGTAACATCACATTGAAGGGAGTGTCTTTGTTTTGATAATTATTGTGTTGACTATTGTACTCCTTGACTTCCTCAGATGTTTTTGTATATAACTGAAATTTTATATTTGAGAAAGAAAATTAGGCCCAAAGCTCAGTTTCCACCACCTATTTACACTACAGATCATGTAAAATCTGGATATTCAAGCTCAGTGAATAGAGTAGACAAGTGACATTAGGTTTAAGATTTCAAATAAATCTCCACAACCGACGCCCCCCCAAAAAAAAATGGAGCTCCATATTGAAGAGCTACTTGATAAGTGCCAACAAGTCATTGCAAATAACGATGAATATGTAACTGAATAAAATTTTGTTTTTAAAGAAAAGTTTATAAACAAAAATGGTAATTATTTGACTCAACTGTAAAAATTATTTACAGTCAGACTGTCTTCATTTTTGCTATTATCGTAGTGTTTCAGTTGCCGTGTCCTTAGCCTTTCTTAGATATGTCAATTCAGAGAATTTTATATAATCTTTTAGGGGTACATTTTTCTTTGTTTATGTCTAGGGATATATTGTCATACACCATGGGACAATAGCCTAGAACAGCATTTCTCAACCTTGTAGAACCCTTGTATTTTTATTGCAGTTCATATAAGCATAATATACAATGATAAATGAATCTGTCATCTACAGGTCCTGTCCATTAACCAGTGGATGTGGTTTCACACTGACGCCGTTATAATCTTTGCTAAAGATATTCCCTATGATTATCATAATTTTAAATAATATAAGTGGTTGAAGTCTTTAATATAATAACCAAAGATTTTTCAACAATAAGCCGTACATGTATAGGAAAATATAGAATTAAACTTTCTTGCAGAACTTTAAAAATAAGTAATGTTTAAAATTAGATTAAGTAAACTTTAAATTTTCTAATATTCAAGTAACCTTTGAAAAAAGTATATTTTATTTTTGCAAGATTTTTAAAATGAAGAATTAACTTTTGTTTAGTTTACAAATGATTCAATCAAAAATGATGGATATCTTTGATTTTACTGAAAACAAAAAAACAAAAAACAAGTCTATTCCAGTCAATATAAATTTGCTTACTGGGTATAGAAAATGAATTCCTTTTACCTTTTTTTGAATTAAAGCTAAAAAGAAAGCTTCAAGAAAGATTTTTTTATTTCCAGAAATACATTTTTTTAAATCTCAGTTTGTAATAGTTATCAATGACATAAAAGTTTCAAACTTGACATTTGGAAATAAAAACAGACTATAACTCTTTATGAAGTCCACTGGGATTCACTCTTCTTGGAAATGTTCTTTTTGGAGTTTATTTTATTTTTATTTATTTATTTTTTTTTCAGTTGTTGATGTTTTGTTTAAAGAGTGAGTCCCACTTTATTTTTCATTTCATTGAAAAAGGACACAAGTGTGTGTGAAAATACCGACTTTAAAATTTTTCTTTTCATGCTTCAATTTAGTCAAAAGGCCTACTAATATATAATATTATCTTATTGACAATATAGTTATTTTTTTCCACCCTTGAACTAAACTATAAAAGAAATGGTTGAACCTAATTTATGGCCAGTAGTCAAATAGCATTGAATAAAACTTCACTATAAGCTTAAACACAGCTCTGTTTTTCTTTACAGATACAA